GGAGACGAACCATCCCTGCGAAAAATGACAACTTTAACCTCGAGCAGCATACCAAGACCGAGGAACAAGATACTTAGCCCCAAGCCCTTTAGGCGCTGTGTTATTTACTTCCAAAGACTTCGGGTCGTGTAGAACATCAAAGTGAAGTGACCTGTAGATGACAATGGAAACTTGGGTTGAACTTCAAATTTGACTTAATTAGCTTAAGGTTACTATTTCTGTAATGCAAAATACTCCCTTATGTTTGCTTTATCTCGATAAATGTCATCTATGATGAGCAAATTGTGAACTTTATTCACGTCTGTTGAAAGATCACGACATCTTGATACTGTTGGTAGGTGATTATTCACGTCTGTTGAAAGATCAGGAGATCCAAAACTTGACATTTTATTGTAGTTTATTGATCAATTTGGTAATCCAGCATATTGTTTTTCATTGTTTGCGAGGTTTGAGATAAGTTATTATAGTTTTTGACTGGTAAAAATAAAAACAGGAACCACATATTGTCCAAAGCTGAGGACAAAGAAAACTTCCCCAGAAGAATAATTATTGCCCATTATGATAAACATTCAACAAAGGTTTTCAAAATCCAAAAAATGAATCATCTTTTGCAACATACAAACACAAACTGTACAAACAAAGATTTCTGGGTTACATCATCCTCATGAAGAGCTGAAGAGTACTCTTTCAAGGAAAAAAAGTACAATTATTTTTAAATATTACAAAAATGCCCTTAAAAGTGTTTATGTCTTTACTGGGGCACTGTGTAACAGAGAAACAGATATCAAGGGTACATTTGTAACGAGTATCCTCAAACAGTCGAATGAAGAAGATTCAAAACGGAGTCTCTATCAGGCATGCTCGGTATGGCACCCTTGACTTGAACACAGAGTGAAGCAGCTGCAGCTGAAAAATCATTCAAGAAGACATTTTATTTTTTTATTTTTTTTTATTTTTGTGAGATGACTTAAATGACATATATTGATCAAACAAAGAGTGGTTGATAAATATAGAATTTTTACATACCGGCAAATTGCAAGCATTCGGTTTTCGATTTTCCCTCCACGAGAGCCACAGCAAAAGCGGCGGTAAAAGTGTCGCCTGCGCCTGTTGTGTCAATTATCTTAGGAGCTGATATGATGGGCTGCTTAAGTGTTTCCTTTCCTTGTGTGAATAATGCAGACCCTTTGGCTCCGAGTTTTACGAGTACCTGTTTAACACCCTAAAAGCCGAGGAGTATTATTTTACAGCTTACAAACATTAGAAGCATAGATGCATGCAAATAATAAATTGTGTATACACTATACAGTGAATAAGTAGCTGCCAAGAGAACTTTAAATGATCCTCTTCATTGTTTGAAAAACAAAAAAAAAAAAAAGAGAGTAGCTGCCAAAAGTATGAGCTTCTGCAAAAAGTTGAGAAAACTAACAAGGGGGCTGCAAGATGATTCAAATAATCGCACGTGCCTGATTTCCATTCCATCTATCAAGAACTTTGGCTCAAATAAAAGAAAAGAAAGTAGTAATGACCAGAATTCTGAAAAATAGGACTACATTCTGTACAGAAAGCAAAATTAAACACATCTTATAAAATCTGAAACGAGCTTGTGCTTGTCTAAAACGAACAAATAACTGGAGCCTTATGTAATATAATTGTATGCTGACCATTTTATGGCATTCCTCCACAGCTTGGCTAATCTGTTCAAAACTTTCTGTGGGCATATTTGTTAGACGAGCAAGCTCGGTTTCGTTTGGGCTCAAAATATCAATAAATTCAAGTAGTTCCAGAGGGATAGGTGCATCGAATCCTCCTGCATCCAAAATGACTGGAACACGGGCACTCCTTGCAGCCTGAAAATAAAAGAATGTTGCATAAGCATATTGTTAAGGGATTTATATATGGTGCTCAAAAAACCATATTTTTACACAATTATGATAAAATCTATTTCAACATGGAGTTAGGCTATTTTTACACAATTAAGTTCCAAAACAATATTGGAGCTCAACAATATTTTAGTAAAGAAAAAGAAAAATAATTTTCACCCTCTGTCATCAACCACATGTACCAACCTGCAAAAACGAAGATAGCTCAATTATCTCGCCCACACCAATCATATACGTGCAAGAAAGGTATTTTTCACTTTCTTTCTCTCTCTTGTGTGTGTGTGTGTGTGTGTGTGCGCACGCTTGCTCTAGCATTTCATCACGCAGGTTGACTTCCGGGATGTTTCTAATTCGGTCTCCACTTTGGACAACATTGTACTACAGCACGTGGTGGCTGCAGTTGAAATAAATCCCACAATTTACTATAATTTATACTCAATCTTGTCCAGCTTTTTAGTTGTTTTAGTTTGAACACCAATTCCTAAATCACAACTCACCATCCTCACTATATTGTTGGTACCCAGAAACAAAGAAGCTTAATCCACACCTAAAGAAAGTCTCATAACGTCTAAAACACTCTCGAGAGTAACATTCATTAAGTTCCATGTGACAGGCAACCCTTCTGCACGAATGCTTAAATTGTCGACCAAAACAGCATCGAGATGGCATGTCAAGTTCATTTCTCTTGCCCAAAATCTACTATCCAAAATACTTCCACAAAAGACGAAAGAAAGGAAACATCTTTACCAATTACAATCAAATCATGCAACCAAGCACCCAACATATCATCGTATCAGCACAAATGCCAAAGCTCAGCTCAAGCGAAAAAGAGAGAACACACTCCCAGTTGGAAAAAAAAA